CCGCTGTTCGTTATTCCGAAAGGGGGTTGGGCTTCCCGCGCGGTAGAGGGAAATCCAGGTGGTCGGGACCCTTTGGAAGATGTCTTTCAAGTCAGGCCCCAGGTCCCCCCCCCCCGAGCGAGCTGGTTGCGCCGGATCCGGAACATGTGGTGCTGAAAGATGGTTGGCCGAGGGAGGGCGGTGGCGGCCTGGAACGTGGACGCGGCTCTTGGAGGCTGATGGGGTCAGGATATGCGCGAAGTGGTAGGGCGAGAATTTTACTCCCCTTTGTTCCCCTCGACTGGCGATTGTTCGTCAATGGCGGATAGCGTCAAACCGACCCGACGTCGCTTCGCAACCTCCCAAATGGGCAAGAGCAGTGACTACAGGGCATGGCCTGGAGGCTAGAGAGGATGAGATGAGTTTGGTGTGGGAGTGGCTGCTCCCTCCGGCTGCCTGTCGAACCATGTTCGTCGAGTGATCGGACTCGCCGCGGAGGCATCATCCGGACTTCCAAGGTATCCCTTGGTAGGTGTAAGGAATTGAAGGTGCGGCACGACTGCGAAGCCAGTGCTCAAGATTCTGATGCTCGCCAGCATGATATCTCGACAGGCCCTTAGGAGTTGAGTGACTGTGATATTACGGCGTGTTTGACGATGGCCTGGATATCACACATACTGTGGGAAACAAGCTTGTCTTGCGGCTCTTGTGATGTTCTCTTATTGGTCACCATGACCGCCGGCGTAACAGGCATGGTGCCTGCCATGACGAATATCACATGATCGTTTTCCCGGTCACAATAGAGAAGAACCGCAGCCGCTTGATTGATGCTGTCTGACGAACAGAATATTGAGTCTCCAAGGTTGTCTTTTGTTTCAGAGGGCGTGGAGATGCTCGGCTCGTTATTAAATGTGCAATCATGGGCACGTACTGCGAGACAAGATCAACGAAAAAACAACGCCTATATCAGCGCAATGATCATTTTCATAGCATATTAAGATACACTTAAATCCGGAGTACGAGCTTGTTGAGCACGGCGTTTTGGTGGCCTCCTGCTGCCAAGTTTCCATATTCGCCGTCGAAGTCATGTCGTCCTCGTCAAGGCCGGTGTAAGGAGTCGCAGAATGCACCTCAGCAGGATGAAGACACGGCCTTCCACTGACAGCTACTGTATTCACTCGAACTTAATGAGAGACTTTCGACTCTTTCGAAAGTGGGGTATTATAACAGGCCGGCTTCACTCCAGCGACAACCGCACAACTACACAGCTCGTGTCCAACCTCAAAAAAATGAGAAATGCCAAAAAACATACAACACCAAGGATTCGCTGGTGGTCACCCACCCAACTACTAGTTCAGCCCTTACTGGTTTATCGATGGGAGAGCGGACGGGATCCCGAGCTTTCCAGTAGGTATGGTCGTATGTGCTAAGGATCACAATTTCTGTGGTATATCAAAGGTAGGTGACGCCCACGAGACTCTCAAGAGGCCAGGTGGAGGCAGAGACACGACAGTGAAATGGAAAAACCAGGGTAGTCTCTGTATTTCATGTTTGATTCAAATAATTCTCAGTACCAAGCTGCTCGAATACTTTGCCATGCCTGGATGAGGTAGTATGGCACAGCAAGGCAGCCCAGTGTATGACCTGAACAACCTTGGCCAATGCATGCCCAAATTGTCCGACATCAGTTTTTTTGGGGGTTGTGTTATTCGTCACTTTGCAGACACTCAGATACACAGATATCACGGTTGCACAGGCTTGCGTAGTTATGTAGTCGTGTCGAGCATGGAGATGAGATGATACAACCGCCCTTGACAAAGTGCGTAGTTAATTACTATGTATCATGCCAATGACGAGACATTTGAGACCAAACTTGAAGCCCAAACAAGGTGCCAGCATGTCTTAAGAGCAGCGATTTAGTCCACCGTGATTTCTTCATGTACACACTCGTAGTAAAGCATAAGACAACCGCCGGCAACACGTCAGGCATGCCCCAAACAACCCTCAGCTCAGAGCATTGTCATGTAAACCATACTCATACACAATATCCTAGACAGCAGAGTATCCTCACTCCAATATCAAGCCCAGAGCCATGTATAAGATGTTACCCTTTCGGCTTCGGTGCGTAGCACCCCAGGCTAGTCAGCAGCCTGTCTTGTCCAACACGATATCCTAGGGGGGGGAAGTGACCCAGAGACCTTGTACTTTTGAAATTAATTAGGCACTCAATTACTTCAACTGTCTATTTAGCTAGATCTGAGGCAAGGTCTGACCGTTCCCACAGAGCAAACGACAACATCTGTCGTACTGCATAAAAAAACCAATCATTCAAACCCCAAAAACACCTATGCCAGTCATCGACTGTGAAGCACATCCTCTAAAAAAAAGCGCACCTCTCATCCTGCTTAACCTGTTTTCCCTATCCTTGTGTAACTACAGTCTTTCGTATAATGGGCCAGGGCTGTATTCTAGCACCCGGAACGCAATGCCGCAACTGGCGCGGGTAAACGCTCAAGAATACCCTATAACTATCTAGCCCATCGTAGGTCCGTATTCCGGCGCGTATACGATTTCTGACCTCGTGGCTGCGCAGACGCATGCGAACAAGGATCCCAAGTCCACGATGTAACATTGGCGACCCAATATCGCGGAACCATCAAGCCATGCATGACCACCTGAATGTACACCACCATAGACACACCAGCCAAGTGAAGTACAGAAACATGGATTACTATCATTCACGGCGTCACCCGCTACAACTTCTACCACAACAAGACAAAGACAAAGGTTATTACAAAGGCTTTACCAAGAAAGGGGGATCCTTCGCAGGGCGCAGGCCTCCCAAAAAACAAAAGCCCAGGCTTGCTGCTCTGCCCCAAGGAATCTCCCCCTTCTTCTACGCCCTCTTCGTGACGTGTAATCTTGCCTGCCTGCCAACCCAAAGATCCCCCCCTCCTTGCCGTCCTGTTCGCCTAAGGTACACACACATATACAAAGGTCGTCAGCTGCCTGCGTCGTCATCAGGACCATACACGCTCGACTTGAGTCAAACG